GTCATTGCTCGGTCTACACAATTATATTTCAGTATTGAACATCGTAACAACAATGGCTAAAATTCAAATACTTGAATAGCTGAAAAAGTTAAACAAAATCATAGAAGCAACATCAAATAAAAGCTGCTTCAAAATTCATCAAACGTGTTTTCATCAACGTTCTGACTAGTAATACTATCTACTAAATAATGAAATTTAAAAGGTGTGTGCTATTGGACGTAATACAAATATTAAACAGACATCTCAAAAGATCAGAGAGATTACACGACGTAAACGCCCGTGTTACAAGTATATTTCAAGGTCAAATGTTGGTACCGTTCTATTAGCCAACATTCGTAACCAAGAGCATACGTTTGACAAAAACTGTAAAAAATATTATCCTACATGAACGTAAACAAATTCTTAACATCATCGAAGACGTGTTCGCGTTTATCACAAATTCCCTAATATAGAGCAATGCCTCTGTGCGTTCTATCCACATACTTTACATAAATACAGAGAGTATATATGCGTAAATAAAGCAAAACATAATTTTGGAAGGAAGTCACAATGTCCCCTTCGGTAGCATTCTGCAGATCAGGAGAGTACCGCCATTTGGTGTTAAGTGTTTTGAAGAAGTTTCCGGAAGGGCAGAAGATAAAGGAGCAGTTCAGCTTCTGTGCTAGCGCAGAGAGTTAAAGTAGGATACGCGGTTCACCCTTAGAGAAGCGGGGCGGCAAGGAGGCGAGGGGATGGGATGGGAAAGGGAAGTGGGAGAAAGAAGGGGAAGAGGGGTTTATTTAAGCCCTCCCTCAAATTACGCCGAGCGCTCTGACAAGAACTAATGAAACTTACCGATAGGCGATTTTTATGGAGGTTTGACTGACGGTTTTGTAACCCAAAGATAAGACATTACTAATACCTGAATCATGCTCAACTTGCTTCCCGCAAACCATGACTCCTTCCGCACGGATCACTTCCTCACATGAGGAGTGGCCCCTTTCTTGCTACACTTTCACCCGAAATGATCACACAACTTCTTTCTCTTACCCAACCTTGTAGGACACTTACACTCAACACACTTAAATCCTGCAATCAAACCACGTTCTTGGGCCCATTCAATAACAGCCAAACACCCCCCTCGGTCCAACGCGTAAAAAAGCCATATTTATTCTCACCATCGTAGCACAGACACTCGACAACAAATCACAAAGAATCTAAAGAACGTAAGAAAATTTACTGTATGACAGCAACGTTGCTTACCCCCTTCGACAGCTACCCGACATAGAAAATCACGTAGCAAAAACACGATTTACGTGCCACCACATGCCATTTTGTAGTGAAGTTTTGACAAGATACTAGGATGAAATTGCCCTCCTAACTTTTGAAGTCACGATCGTGACCAATTACGAACTATTAACACTATTTCAGAAGTGTATGTCTTTACAATTTATTTAAATCGCCCCCGCATTGCTTTTTGTATACTACTAAGTTACCTACATTGCTCACCACCCCTCCCCACCGAATCCCCCTCCCCCCCCCCGATTCCCCTCGTTGCACCCTTCGTCCCCTCCACCGTGATTTCCCCCTCGCCGAAGCGGCGCGAACTGCCGGTTTAAACGACTTCCTTAAGTTACACCGTAAACTAGACTTCAAGCGCGCAGAGGAACATGCCCTTCCGAACGTCCTGAACATCGGGCTTAGGTACTCGAGCGAAGCAACCGATCTAAAACAGCACAAAAACTCGAGTTTTGCATTTAAAGCACATGCACAGCTTGCGCCGGTAGGCTAAATGTTCCAGACTTGAAGGTTCGAGGATTTGCCATAGTCCCTGAAATGGTAGGATTGGCCTCGCCGCAGCGGCGTAAACGCGCAGTGCACTAGGGTTTTCGTGCGTTCACAGCGCTGCACAAATGAAGGCGACTGACGTTCTCGTGCCGCTGGAGGTCAACCAAATCGGCGTGTTCTCTCTACTCTTGTCGACTTGCAAGCTATCTTGCCTTGGCCGATAGCTCTGGATAATTTCCCATTCGACTCAAGTTGACAGTCAACTTTTGTGCTTTTATATGCCAGATCTGTTGATAAATACCAACTGAAACCACTGAACTGGTTGAATAAATACCTCCAAACCTGTAAACTATTTTTTCGAACTCTGAAGCATCAATAACACATGGAAAACGTTATGAACTAACTCCAAAACTTGTAGAAACTATTTGCATTCCAGATATTTTCAATGTAAACGTCATATCTGATTTTACTTCTGAGAATTTCAACAATTATTGAATTATCCAAGATGGTTGCCGAGGCTCATAAGTTCCTTACCTGGTGGTTAAGAACCCAATCAAGCAACCACAACCGATATAACTACACACTTCTGGTCTTACACTTCAGATTACCTACTAGTGAAGATATATACGCTTTAAATACACAACATTAGGGGGCAGAATTTTGAAAGTGTTGGTTTTGTGCGAATATAGCGTTGTATTTTATTCATCATAAAAATGATAATCTTTTAGAAGCTTCTGAAATGCGGCAAGAAAACCCACAATTTAGCGTTGCGTCGTGTAAATGCTCAGTGTTAATGCTTTAAAGCCAAACATTTCGATATTTTCAAAAACATTTTGAACAAACAAAAATTAAAATGTTCATAAAATCAGAACATTAGTAAAATTTAGATAATCTTCAAGACATTGCACAATATTCAGTAATCCACAAGAGTTTAACTTTTAATGTATGTCAATAAAACGATGTAATTGCGCTCAATTTTTCATTTTCTAGGAACAAAGAATTGATCTGTTACTTTCTCGTTCAACACTGCTTCCAACTGAGTAGTTCATATTTCTACCATTTTCAAGTGAGCTATGACGCGAGAAAAAAGTATATCTACCAATAACAGAATTATATAACATTAATTATTACATAAGACGTTGCAACTATACTATTTGTAAGAGCTCTACTTAACCGTTAACTTGTACTTCACGTTCAGCTTTAAGTTTTTCTTTAAACACTAAAATTTGGAAAAACTTATCTTAACACAATACTTACAATTTATCATCTTCATTTATCTCCGTTATCCATCCTATAGTATTTTCACTAAACAAAAAGAACGGTGTGAAGTCTATCCTGCGAAAGTCGACGCCGACAGCAGTTGAAACAGTGTGAGAACCGTAGCTTTACTTGATCTACGAGAAAGTGCGAAAAAGTTGCTAGGATCTCCCACCAAAGAGTGGAGCGCTGCTGCAGAGACAGCCATGTCTTGAAAGAACATATCGGACTTCCAAGCAAAGAGTATACTTCAGAGACGGCACTCAATGTTAAAAGGAAAAGCCTTATTTGCCCAACTTCCGGTGCCGCCACATTATTCTGTATAATTTCTATTGGGTAAACTGACAGCCAATAGCGAAGAAGTAACCGGTAAATTTGAAATAAACCAGTAACGCGGGAGCTTTAAAATTTCACTCCCATATTTTCCACGCCTTAATTTATTAAAAAATTCAAAATTATACTTATAAGGAGTTTATGGAAGAAAAAAGTCAAATTAGGGTAGTAAAATTAGTATTTATTGAGCATATTAATATTACACAATTTAGTAATTTTATTAGTAATAACAATTTTGTATTACAGAAGGTAATAAACAGTACATCTGCACAATTGCAACTTTAGTATTTGCTTGTAGATATGCCAAGTTAATGTGTATACTACATTATTACAAGCATTATGAATGAACAATATGAACAGAATTGAAAATGAAAATACAACCGCACATTTGCCCAGGTAAAACAAAGAGTTATGATACAAGGGGTGAAAGTGCCATTTTATTTTGCGCATAGGAAAGGTAGCACCACTAAGCCAATAAGTCAGGTGCTCATTTCTATAAGCAAAATAAAATCACTTTCACCATGCTTTTTTAAGAGGTATTACTGCCTTTCATTATATTTTAATCCAAGAATATGAATTAATTATATACTGTTACATTAAGACCAGTAGTATCTGATTAGGTCACATGAACGTATTTTGTTTTCTTGGTTGCTTTCAAAGTTTTATCAGAACATTTGAGTATTGTCCCACTTTCAGCAGTAGTGCAAAAATTGAGCTTTTAGCATGCTCTGTATGCCCTGAAAGAACTGCTTTTACTAGTTGCAACCTAAAAATGTTTTTCATTAGTCAATAAATATTTGACAAAATTATTTTAGTTACCCGTGCTAATCTGACACATGCACAGTTCAGAGCCTGGCGTTTTTAAAATGGGATCCACTGTGAAACTACATTCACTTTTAACACAATTATTTACAAATAGTGGAATTCCATCAATGCTTATTCACCACAATTTAATTCTGAAAATGGATTGTCAAAGTGCAAATATTTAATTGCACCAGGAGCCAAGCCTAGGACCTTCTGATAACTGGGCAAATGTCCTAATAACTGAGCTACGGAATCAAGAATTGCATTCACGACTCATAACAATTCACAATTTAATAAGGATCAGCATTCAAATCCAGAATGTAATTGGCATTAGGATGAACAAAACACAATGATACACACACAATAGAATATAAATTGAATCAAGGTTGTGTTTGTCATGAGAAACTATAATTGTCAGAACAGTATAACAATACATAAGCAACTTATATCAATACTAATAATAAAAATTAATACTAATAAGTAAGAAAAAATTACAGACCACTAAAGAAAATAATAGAAAATAATAAGCACTAAAGAAATTCTAAAATTGCATGAAAATAGCCTCTGAAACAGAAACTCAAAACCTTTGTATTCATAATATTCAAATAAAGCGTCTTATCATAGCAAGAGGCATTCTAAAATTGAGAAAATTATCATGCCTTACAGATTTAATTTTATTTTTAAATTTAATTGAATTAGAACTTTTCAAATCAGATGTGGTAAATACAGTTTATGTAATGGATCTGTATCCAATAATAGAATGCACACTTATTTTAAACTTCTCGTTTATGGTACCATTACAAAATGTCAGCATAAAAGATATATGTACAGAAACTATGTGCAGAAATGAAACAAGTCATTCACTGCTCATAACAATAATTCTTTAAAATTATCTCTCTGAGTTCGGACTTCTCAATGAGAACATTAATTTAAATCCACTTAGGGTCAAACTTGTAGGGTCTAATATGCATGTTTCAGAAGCCATCTCTGGAAGAGGATCTGAAAAGCAAAAAATGCCGTTAAGAAAGATACTATGTCATCAAATGAATGTTCTGAAAACAAATCCGTATAAAAAAGAAAGAGTTTTCTTTTAATTCGCCATCTAGAAATAGGAAATTACAAAGCACAGGAATATCTTGCACTTACCACTCACCGAAGTCGCAGATTCATCTCCCAGAATGGCTTCTTACACCTGTTCAGAAGTACGAGGATCTGTAATCACCCAAAAAAAGTTTTTCATTTACTATAATTTACCCTCAATTGGCACTAATAACTGTATATTGAAAGGAACATACCATGAGAAACGTTCATAAAAACTTGAGGTTACACCTCACATGGGTGAAAAAGATCTGAAAATGGAGACAAACTTGAAATCTATCCCATCTTCAATAAATGCCACAAAGTAATAATTGAGATTCTTAAAGATTATAGCAAATATTGACCTTTCACAAGGCTAGTATAGGCATCTGCTGCACTTGCTGTAGCAGCATGTTCAACAGCACTAGAGTCTGTATTAATCAACAACAAATTATTACCAATACATTATGCTTTTAATAGTATGCTCCTTTTTACATTTTACAAACATACAAGAGACTTACCATTTTCTGTTTGAAAAGATGCCTGTGTACAAGGATCTGAAAATTACAAATTGCTGGTAACAGACTCCCATCAAACTATTCTACTAAAACTATAAAAATATATTCCATTAAAACTCTTATATTCTACTAATATTCTATTAAAAGTCTTACCAATTACACTCATTGCTATAGTGGGTGTCACCTCGGTTTGTCCGAACAAGGGATCTGCAAATGAACATGAACATTAAAAAAATTTCACAATTTGCAATTGAATTATTTGAATACACTTGCAAGGCAAAAACTTACCATGAATATTGACAGCAAATGTACCATGCACACTTGCTGTAGTGAACCATTCAGCGGAATTTGTTTCTGTAAACACAAATGAATTATCACCCTAGACTTTAAGTAGCATTATTCTTTATAAATTTTACAACGATGTAGAAATTTACCATCTACAGAGTAGTCTGGATTTAGAACAAACTACATTCATAAAAACGAAAGATAAAATAAATGTAACTCACTTTTTCACGTTTCTTGGGAACCTAAATAAACGTGTTTTAACTGCTAATTTCGCTTTCGCATTTTTATAGTTAGGCACCCAGCATCTTCTCGAAGCCATAATGCAAACTTCAGACTTCAAACAGCAGTAAATCAATTCATTTCTCTAATTCACTGACTGCGATATGGCGTTAACGGCCGTACGAACAGGACGTGATCATACAACGACAGGTCGATGAAGGAATCCAACGGTAACCAATCGGCTCGTTTGCGAAAAAAATTAGAAATGAATAAGTAGTTCACCGATTCTCCGCTTGAGCGAGTTGGTGTTGTACAGATGTGTATGGCGTCGCTCTGAACTCTGATTGGCTACCGTATGGAATTTGAATAAGGACGGGATGTGCCCTATCTAGTGTCACACCACTGACTCATACGAGAAGTTATAAGGGTTGATTCATTCTGACTTCTACTGAATAGCAAGGTGATCATGAGTGATACTAGATGAAAGTTTTCTTATAAGAGGGTGTTATTTTTGGGTTCATTAGGTAGCGTGAGATGTCAACTACGCTATTGTCACATGATCAAAACATTCATCCATTACACGGCGCCTGAACTCAAGCATTCGGATTCGCGAGATTTTTCGATGCTACACACCCACAATATGCAAAAAGTGGTAGTAAATAGAACATTAACTTCAAAAACTAAACTCCTGAATATCTCTTTTTTAATTATTCGCAAACTCGAAAAACAAGGGTGATTCAAAACCTCCACAAATGGAAGAAACTTACACTTCTAAGTTAGATTGCACGGCTCATACCAGGGCCTTGCAACTCACCATCAAAAGCAGGAACAATTCTGAAGGGTGCTACGATAGGAGGCGTTAGTGTCGCCGGGTGCAGCCACAGGTTAGGCTCGCCAACTTTCGCCCAATAAACATTGGCTAATTTGTGAGAAATACGAAAAGTGTCTTTTAAATGATCAATTATTCATAATACATACATATAAGACACTTCTGAAGAAAGCGCGAACATCGACGCTGTATTTTGAAGCAATACGCGCCTGCTTGCGTCTCGCGAACCCACATCTTCGTATCGAAACATATAGTTACAGTTCATATTTTCGTTCATGTAAGAAGGTGCTACCGGAGAGCGCGCCACTGTAATGGTTTCCACCACGTTATATGGGAGTTGAAAGGCCCTAGCGCAGACCAAGATACCTTCCCATGTGGAGGAAACCCTAGACAAAGCTACTACTCCGGTTCTTGCGCTCGTCTCCACTCCGTCTCCGCACCGCTCCGCTCCGTCTCTTCGACAGCATTCTGGGCGAGTTGCGCCAATAAGGAAGTGCTTCGGGCCCGCGGGCGCCGTCGCAAAACCTCTCGCGAAGCCCTCGCCCCGGCCGAAGCACTCCGCCCACCGCGATTCGCCGTTTCGAGGACGAAAGTCCGCGAGCGATTCGGCCGATTATCCGAACATTGCCACCCACTCACACAAGAACCACCGCCGCTTTCCTCTCCGCAATGTTTAACCGCCCTCTTGTAGCCTCCAAAGAACAGATGTCGGATAATTTTCCTTCACAAATAGAACAATAACGGACTGGAATAAGTTGCCTGCGACGGCCATTTAAAAGTATACTAACTAAGGACATTTGTAAAATGTATTAGTAAGTTAGGCTTATTAAAATAGTTATAATTTTATTATAATTGTTATTAGTATTATTAGTATTGTGATAATCATTATAAAAGGCATTGATTTATTAAATATACAATTATATTTAAAGTAGTAGTTAAATTGGAGCGTTGTGACGTGTGAAGTGAAGTATAGTGAAGTAAAGTGCAGTGTATTTAAAAAATGTATTTATTAGTTAAAATTTCTGTGCATGTCAGTCATAAATGTAGAGTTAATGCTGTTATGGTTATTATTGTCTTTATTTTTATATTATTATTACTACTATTGCCTTACTATTGTTTTAAAATTACATTATATTTCTATTCCTAGTAGTAATATGTAAATTGTAGTGTTCTGTCACCAGGTTGTATACCAACCTGCAGAAATAATAAATCTACCTATCAATCTAGATTGAGAAACTTGTTTACAACGCTTCTGCTAATACGTTTTCGGCCAGGAGGGAGATGGCACGGAGAAGAAATGCCGCTTTCTAAACAGACAGATTCAGATAAGTGCCTGCTGCGAAACTTCTGAGAGATGTCGAACCAATGGACTAAAAATAATCTTTGCCGCTCCGAACAGTAAATTAGCGTAGATTATTTGCTAAAGAAGCATGATGTTCTTGGAAATCTCTAGATGAATCGCATTTTGAAAGGTTGCGTTTTAACATTTCCCAGGGAATGATTTTTCTAACAAAACCTCTTGTATTCAGTGAATTCTCTAAATAAGACTAAAAGCTGAAACAAATGCATGTATTATTATTATTATTATTATTATTATTATTATTATTATTATTATTATTATTACTATTATTATTAATTGTGAATGACCAGAAAAGTACAGAACGCGCGCTTCATAAATATTGAAGCGTTTTGCAAATCTGACGCTAAATGACTGAAATTGCCGGACTACTGGAGAGTAATAAAAACCTGTAGAACGAACGTAAACGCTAATAATCAGTTACATGTACCTATCGTATGTATGTACGGTAAAAAACTCATAAACAGTAACACTATATTTATATATATTAGACCCAAGAGTACTGGACGCCCCATACGGGTGCTTAGCCGCTTAGAGATGCATTTTTATGGGCACATTGCATTGTAGATGTAATTATTTCTTAATAAAGATGTACGGTAACGTATTAGCTTATTAAAATTTCCCCAAATTTCATATTTTATTAATTTGAATACCATTTTCTGTTTTTCATCTCAAGCACTGACCTGTTACATATTGTTTTCAAAGTCTATTTGTTCTAAATTTTCTATTTATTCAAATGTTCCTTTACGGTAGTTATTTAAAGCAGGTAGTAAGTACGCATTTTAAGTAGTAGTAGTAGTATGTACGTTATTTAAAGCAGGTACTTTGTTCAAGCTGGTAGATAGTATGTACGTACATTCAACTTCTTATGAGTTTAACTGATGAAATTAAAAGAACGCTCGATATCCTTTCATCCCTGAAAATAATTATTTTTTCTTTGTAATAGTTACGACGAAATAAATAATAATAAAAATAATAATAATAATAATAATAATAATAATAATAAATTATTAATTAATTAACATTATCCTTTCAAGTTTATATCAACTCTTTTGAGCGTACAAGCGGGCTGAAACTAAATATATAACAATAAGCTACTACTTCTACTGTTCAGCGAGAACATTTTCAATTAGAATCGGTTAAATTATCAAAGAGCTTGTTTCCAGGAACAAATACCATAGTCGCAGCGACCCTTCAATTCCCAGAACCTCTTTGTTCCCAGGAGGGCGAATTCCTCCAAGGATACATTGCCTGTACAGAAGACAAGTTTAGAATATCGATTAAAAACTTCGCCCAAGTATTAATAAAGTAGTTACAACGGGACCAGTCATAAGTGTTGCTGATTTCATGGATAAAATGTTAGGGATGAATTACGAAATAGTAAACACAAACTGAATATCTTCATCACTTTTAATTTCTCGCTATTGCTTACGCACTACAGAGTAATTATTGTAATACTGCCTGAACAAAACGGTGACTTTTCGGCAGAACAACCCTTGTTGCCGGGTCCTGATAACGAAAACTTTCTCTAACACGTTGTTTTGTCAGATTTCATGTTTTGTGTGTAACGAAAAATACATTGTCGGCACATCATCGGTCCGTCTGTCCGTGTCCGACTGTCTGTAAACAACGCTAGCGGGATACACCGTAGAGAATTTTCCCCAATCAATCTGGCTGATATTGCGGCCCATCGAATTTGATACTGATATGGTATTGTAAAGGAAATAATCTCCACAAATTTTGTGGAGATTATTTCCTTTACAATACCATGGATTACCACAAGATATCCGCTACCACCACGGAATTTATTGATACTGATATTTTAATTTTGGGAGGTACTTCACATGAAGACCTTGGGACCTTTTTTAAGTTTTCAAAATAATGGCACCAAACGTTTCAATAAAAATGTTGTCGTCGTACAGTGTAAAGAACGCTTGAGCGAATGGGATAAGTCTCATTTTCGTTGAAATTCCTGATTTTTCACAAAATTTCAAAAGTTGACATTTTTGGTGCCTTCCTACAACTACAATGATGACAATTGTTTTCCTTAATGAAATTTGTTTACCGGAAACTAATATGCGTATTTTTGCGTGAAATATACGTTGTATTTTACAACATATGGCAACTGACAAAACCTGAAACCTCACTTCAGATACGTTCAGTTGCGACAGCTGTGTCCTAAAGTTGATATTTCACAGATCACCGCTAGGTTGGCATTGAGAAGTTGGGAAGCAGAACTCAGCTCATTGGCATTGGTGGCATGGCTCATTGGCTCGTTGGCATTGACAGGGGAGCAGAAAGCAGGTACTTTCTTGGATTTCAACGGGTTAACCGCGAGAAAACCCTCATATTCGATTGATTTAAATGCGTGACTGCTGTGGATGAGCGTTATGACTGAAAGGTTCCTACCTCAATGTTTAGAAGTGTGTTGGACCGGATCAGACAAACGCTGACCAGGGTGCTTTGAAACTTACACAGATGTGACTGGAAGTGGTTGGAAACAATCAGACGCATTCGGACAAGCCAACACAACATTGATAGGCTTCAAGGATGTAATTCGCTGAGGTTAAAGGCTTAAATTGAAATACCACGGTTCTAGTTGTATGTAATGTGGAGAACATCACATGACGCCCACGTTGCCACATATGGATAATTCTTGAAC